AGGGAATCTGATGCCTTTGCATGTACCAGGCATGTACATGTACAGGCGCGATGCACAGATGTACACGCAGACAAAACATCCATATTCATAAAGATAATAAAATAAACTGTTTAAAAAAAAAAAACGCACAGCCAGGCAGTGGTGGCGCACACCTTTAATCCTAGGACTCGGGAGGCAGAGGCAGGCAGATCTCCGTGAGTTCAAGGCCAGCCTGGTCCACAAAGGTATGCAGAGAAACAAAACAAAAATCCAAACAAAACAAAACAAAACAAAAAACAACCCACACATACTACTCTTGTAGAGGACTCCAGTTCAGTTCCCAGCATGCACATTAAGTGGCTCATTCCTGGGGATCTGAGGGCGAACACTCACAACTAGAAATCTTAAGGAAAATGACAGTCAGGTTTGGTGATTCATGCCTGTTATCAGCACTTAAATTGAGACAGGAGAATTTGTACAGGGCTGAGGCCAGCCTGAGCCCCATAGTGAGAACTTTCTAATGTAGGCCAAAGAGTGAACCCTATCTCAAAAGAGCAAAGATAAAAAGGTAGAAAAGCGCCGGGCGTTGGTGGCACTTTTAATCCCAGCACTCGGGAGGCAGAGGTAGGCGGATCTCTGTGAGTTTGAGACCAGCCTGGTCTCCAGAGCGAGTTCCAGGATAGACTCCAAAGCTACACGGAGAAACCCTGTCTTGAAAAACCAAAAAAAAAAAAAGGTAGAAAAGCAAGCAAGCTGTGTGTGAGGCTGAGGAGAGGCTCAGTGGGTCCTACCACTTGCTATGCAAGTGTGAATATCTGAGTTTGCATCCCCAATATCCACATAAAAGCTTCACATGGCCCCACACGCCTACAATGCCAGAGTTGGGGAGCAGACACAGGCAGCTCTCAGGAGCTTGGTGCCCAGCCAGCCTATCTGAACCAGTGAACTTCAGGTTCAGTGAGAGACCCTGCCTCAAGGGAATAAAGTCGAGAGCAACTGAAGACACTGGACAGTCTCCTCGGTCTCTGTACTCATGGGTATGTACAAATCCACCTGAACACACAAATGCACGTACATCACAGAAAAAGCTGGCCATGATGACATACCTGTAGAATTCCAGCACTCTAGGCAGTTGAGGCAGGGAGGCTGTAAATTAAGGCAAGCCTGAACTATGGAGGAAACACTCATCCCCAAACAAAAATACACACACACACACACACACACACACACACACACACCCCACAACACAGAATATAAATCCACAAAGAGGAATTGTTTTTGGCGGTGGTGGCGCACGCCTTGAATTCCAGCACTGGGGAGGCAGAGGCTGGAGGATCTCTGGGAGATCAAGGCCAGCCTGGAGAGAAGTTAAAAAAAGCGTGGTGCTTAGTGAGGGGCATTTAGGACTCGTGTGGCCATGCTGGAGTAACAGAGATGTCCCGTATTGTGAACCCTCCCACAACTATGTGCACACCATTGGGTTGTTCATTTAAAATGTGTATGTTTTGTGTACCTGTAATCCCAGCACTCAGGAGGTAGAGGCAGATTGATCTCTGCCAAGTTCAAAGCCAGCCTGCTCTACACAGAGTTCCAGGCTAGCCAGGGCTGCATAGTGAGACCCTTTCTCTGACTATATAACCCCTTCTTCCCTCTCTCCCTGGTCCTATCTCTTGCTCCCCTATCTGTCCTTCACTCTACTCTGGCCATCCTGACCATTTTCCTGTCCTTGTAGCAATCATTGTTGGCAAAGAGATTTTGCCTTTTCCATTCCCTAAGCCAAACTTGATCACCTGGACAAAACCCACCTTATGCCCTGCTCTCCCAGTCTGCGTTTTGCTCAAGGGCACTCCTCACGCATGACATCACATATGCTTCTCTGTGTGTTTGCTTAGTGGTTACCTCCCACACCAGAGCAGATCATCCCTGGGAGTGGATCTTGCTCACTGGCCGTAACTGCAATAGTAGCTGGCACAGAGCAGACACTCAATACATATTTGTTGAATGAATAAATTAAGTTGGTTGTAATAGAAACCAGAGGAGCAGGGCACAATGCAAGATAATAAGTGCTCTAGGAATTAAGCCAAGGAGAATCACTGTTGGTCTGGGAATAGGGAGCAGAGAAAATAAGAAAAATTTCCTTTGAAGAGATGAGCCCAAAGCTGCGGGGGGTGGGGAGGGTTAGGTTGGTTGTTTTCTTCTTGTTGGTTTGCTTGGTTGGTTGTTGTTGGCTTTTTTTTTTTTTTTTTTTTTTGAGATAGGGTCTTTTCATGTAGTGAGGCTGGTCTCAAACTCTCCATCCTCCTGTGTCAGCCTCTGAGTGTTGGATTGCATGCATGTACCACCATAGACAGCCAGAATGTGGAACTGAATTGTAGGGAGACATTGTAGCCCCGCCTCCTAGTAGCCCCTACAGAGGAGGTGGAAGATGACGTGGAGAGAATTCTTAAGAGGCCATGAACACATGGATGCCCCTTCTCTCTGGCCTCGCTAGCTTGCGGCCTCTGGGCACGCTCTGGCTTGCGTTTGGGCTGGTGTTTATCTGAATAAAGAAATCTTAGCACTACGGCCTACGGATCATCTTTGAGTGCACGCAATACTGAATGGCTAGAGAAGAGCCACTAGGAGTCACTCAGGAATTGGGCTTCATTCAGTATGGAGGGCTGCCCCTGCCCTATAGGACCAGTACAGGACAACAAGGGGGGACAGAAGTGTGGATGTTGAGCAGTTTCTGCCCTGGTACAGAGGACATTGCCTTTGTTGTGCTCCCACCCCAGGGCGGGCAGAGAAGTGACCTAGTTAGTCTACTGCTCTCATCGTGGATTCAGCCACTCTCAGAACCATCAGTCATTACTTACAAGGTGACATTCCAGGGCATGTCCTTTGCCACTTCCTGTGATCAGCTTATATTTTTTTTTCTAGCCTGGACTCTGTGCATCCTCCTGCCTCAACCTCCTGAGTACTGACATTGTAGGGTTTGTTCATATTCTCTCATTTAATCTTTCCAGCAAACTCACAGAGCTGGCTGTGTCAGCTCTACTTTCTAGATGAAAATTTGAGAGCTTGGGAGACTTCTAGTTGTACCTGGAATTCTCCATATAGCTGAGGATGACCTTGAGCTCCTGATCCAACTGCTTCCACTCCCCAAGTGTTGGAATTATAGGCATAAACCATCATCTCTGGCTAGAGACAATTTTTCTTTTTTAAAACAGAAGCAACAAGAGGCCAAGTTGTCATCCTGGGTCTCAAATCCATTCTTTTGAACAGAAGCATTGGGTCTCCTGGGATGGTAAAATGATCAAAAGAATCTAGAGTGGTCAAAAGACCAGCCTAGCTGGGAGTTGGTGGTGCACGCCTTTAATCCCAGCACTCAGGAGGCAGAGGCAGGCAGACCTCCATGAGCTCGAGGATAGCCTGGTCTACAAGAGGTAGTTCCAGGACAGCCTCCAAATCCAGAGAAACCTGGTCTCAAAAAACAAAAACAATAAATAAATAAATAAATAAATACCAGCCTAACCAGGATCTGTTGGGAGTGTAAGCAGGGGAGTGTAAGCAAGGAATTCAGGCAGTAACATCTGCAACCACCAGGTGTCACCACAGGGAATACTTTCTCAAGGTGCCTAGGAGTGGGAATAATTTGGCATAGAGCTTTACCCCAACTTGAGACAGGGTCTCACTGTGTAGCTCTGGCTGGCCTGGAACTCACAGAGATCTGCCTGCTTCTGCCTCTGTAGTGCTGGGATCAAAGGTATGGATTATCACGCCCATCTTCAATCTTATTTTCGAGATGGGGTCTCTCACAGAACCTGAAGCTCACTGATTTAGGAAGACTAGCTGGCTACCGTGGGATCCACTTGTGTTTGTCACCCCAGCTTTGGGGTTACTAGTGCACATCACACAGCTTTTACATCGGTGCTGCAGATCCAAACTTGGGTCTTTTTGCTTAGGCAACAAGCACTTTACCCATTCAGTCTTCTCCCCAACTCTATTGTCACCATCATCATCATCATTACTATTATTATTTGGCTTTTCCAGATGGGATTTCTCTGTGAAGCTTTGGAGGCTGTCCTGGCACTCTTTCTGTAGACCAGGGTGGTCTCGAACTCATAGAGATCCACCTGCCTCTGCCTCCCAAGTGCTGGAATTAGGCGTGTGCCACTGCTACCCAGCATATATATTTAAAAATAGGGTCTCTGCCTCTCAGGAGGCAGAGGCAGGCAGATCTCTGTGACTTTGAGGCCAGCCTGGTCTGCATAGTGAGTTTCAGACCAGTCAGAGCTACATAGTGAGACCCTGCCTCCAAATAAATAAATTAATAAATACATAAATAATAAAACTACAATCATGGGGCTGGAGAGATGGCTCAGCAGTTATGAATACTTATCGCCCTTATGGAGGACACAGGTTCGATTCCTACCATCCAGATGGTGGCTTACAGCCATCTGCAACTCCAGTTCTACAGGATCCAATGCCGCCTTCTGACCTCCAAAGATACTAGGCCTTGTACTGCTCATAGGTGCAGGCAAAACACTCATACACATAAAAACGACTCATTCACAAAAAAGGAGGGTACAGAGTCACTGGTGTGAGCACTGACAGCACAAAATATGAAGACATGTCTGCTACTTTGTTAGGTAGGTGACTTGAACATAGATAGTTAAGCTTCATGTCTCTCATTTCCTTACCTGTAAAGTGGGAATACTATTACCTACTTGAGAAAACTGTGAGGATTAAACGTTATGACAATTACTGGTATATGGCAAATTGCAATAAATGTCAAAACTTACAGCGTGTGTGTGTGTGTGTGTGTGTGTGTGTGTGTGTGTGTGTGTGTGTGTTCTGCCTCCATGTACTCCTGCAGGCCAGAAGGGGCACCAGATCTCATTACAGATGGTTGTGAGCCACCATGTGGTTGCTGGGAATTGAACTCAGGTCCTCTGGAAGAGCAGCCAGTGCCCTTAACCACTGAGCCATCTCTCTAGCCCCACAGTTTCTTTTTTAAGTATTTGTTTTTGACAATTTCATACATCTATATAATATACTGACCAGAATCACTCCTACCCCCTCTTTTATCCCCTTCTCCTCCCTCTGGAACTCTTCTGTTTGACATGTCACCTTCCTCCTTTCATGTCTTCTTGTTTGAGACAGGAGTCTCACTGTGTATCCCTGGCTGGGCCACTCCTCCTGGCCCTCAATTACTGTTTAAAACCTACTTTCTTTCTCCTTTAAGTTCTAGCTCTAACTACATCTGAATATTTATTATGGAAGGGAGAATCTGGAGAGATGGCTTGCTGGAAAGGCACTTGCCATCAAGTCTGCCAACTTGAGTTTGGTTCCAAGAATCCACAGGATGGGAGGAGAACCAGTTCCTGCAAATTGTCCTTTGACCCCACATGTGTCCTATGGTGTGCCTCCAGAATACACAATAAATAAAAATTTAACATATTGGCTGGGTGTGGTGGCACCTTTAATCCCAGCACTCTCACTGCAGACCTGAAAGTGGCAGTGGATCTCTGAGTTCAAGGCCAGCCTGGAATACAGAGGGAGTTCCAGGACAGCCAGAGCTGCTACACAGAGAAACTCTGTCTCAAAAAAGAAAAAAAAATAATTCTTTCTGCTTTGAACAATTTTTTCCTGGCGTGCTTTCTTTTCCTTCCCACCCTGGCCTATTCCTACAGACTTCATGTAGAAAATGAGAGATAGCCTCTGGGTTTCTTTCTTCATAAAGATTATCAATATGTCCCCAAATGAGATGCCTCTGTATTCACCCTCATGGTTGCCCTTGGCATAGAGTGGTGTAGTAAGAGCAGGGGCTTACTTTAGCTCTACTGGGCACAGACTACCCTCTGGAGTACTGAAGCAAAGGCTAGAACAATGAAGATAGGACAATGATAACCCACTCAAAGGCCTTGAGGTGGGAACTTCATTGCATGTTTCAGGAGCTGAGAAGTAGGTCCACATACTGTTGAGCCACTAAGGATGAGATAGGTAAAATGATGAGGCAACCACCCTATTTTCATGGATCCTGACTGGCATGTGTTTCTTGCCTTTGCCGACTGGTAATGGAATTCTACTCATCTTTTTTCTTTTTCTTTTTGGTTTTCTGAGGCAAGGTTTCTCCAAGTAGCCATGGCTGTCCTGGATCTTGCTCTGTGGACCCGGCTGGCCTCCAACCCACAGAAATCCACCTGCCTCTGCCTCCTGAACGCCTCTACAACCTGGCAAAATTTTACTCATCGTTCGAGGACTACTTCAAACCATTTACAAAATCTTGTCTCATTCTTCAGCAAGAATTAATCATTCCTATGACATCCCAGCACACATGCCATCACAACTCATCACGTGCTGACTTGGATCTCAGCTAGCTGTTTACATGCCAGTCTGCGCACCAGCATGGTGAGGTCCCAGAGGGCAGAAGCTCAGTCTTAGTCACCTCTGGAACCACCTCCTGGTATCTAGCCTAGTGACTGGCTCACAGCAGGTATTCAATGTGACATTTACCGGACTAGTGGGTGGGGCCCAGCACTTAAGACAGAACAGAGGGAAAACAAAAATAATAACAGCTTATGACTTATCTATCACATGCTTTCCCATCAGTTACCCGATGAGCCTTCAAGGACTCTAATAGAAAAGGACAAACACTCTGAGGTAGCTGAGGCCCAAGAGCGCACAGCTAGTAAGTGGGGATTAAGCCCCCATACTGTTCTTTTACTTGAGTTTCAGCCCTGGTCATTGGGTTGACCTGAGGAGCAGAGAGGAAGCAATGGGGTTGCCTGGAGTGGTGACAAGCTTTTGTGTGTGAAGATATCCTTAGTCATTTGCAACAGAGTGAAGGCCAGCAATGGACAAGGATTCCTCCCTCTCATCCAGGCACCCAGAGTAGTTCACAACACCATCTCTCAGCCCGGTGAGATGGGGATCCCTCTGCTGGGGAGGATGTTCGGGTTCAGTGGTTAGAGTGACCTAACCGATGACATGTAAGCAGACGCTTGCCTCTCTGTTGCTATGACAACCGGAGCTTGTCTACCGGGCCCCTGCAAGGATAGCGGAGTCGTGTTCTTCCTTAACTCTAGACCATATAAGGGCTTATGGGGTGCGCGCGCGTGTGCGTGTGCGGATGTCTGCGTGTTCGCACGCGCAGCGGAATAAACACGAAAAAAAAAAAAAAAAACCACAACCCATATTTAAGAAACAGCGGTTAGCTCAGTGATTCCCTATGACGACCGAAGGTTAAAAAGTCATCCGCGCAATTTTAAAGGTCTAGAGGCTCAGACTGCATTTGACCAATTCAAGAAGCATCTCGCGGGCTGAACGCTGGCACCACCGCTCATCGAGAGCCTCGCAGGCGGCCCCAACCGCAGCCCCCCAGGACGCAAACCCGGCTTTCAGCTGCGGAGCTCCTCTCGCGACCTTCTCAAGATGGAGGCGCTCCGCCCCCACGTGCGCCGGGAGAGGGCGGGCTTCTCCGGGCGCATGCGCCCCGCGCCTCTGGGCTCCCGGCTGCCTCCTCCTCTTTCCCCCGCCTCCATTTTGTTCGCGGACGCTGGGGACGGTGGGAGCAGATCCATTTCCGGGTTGGTAAAAGGGGCGGCGGCGAGAAAGAGAGCTTGGCGCGGGGCGAACGGGCAGGACTACAGCAGGACGC